CGGAAGAGACGTGAAGAAAACTACAATTCTAATTTCCCTTATTTAAAAATAACTCCCGTTTTCAGTGTACTTAATTAATTTTAAAGATGATTTTTGAGGGGCCCGGGCGCTGGGCCAAAGAAAATGTTTCCTTCGTTCGAACCCCGGCAAAGATGTTTTCTGTTGTTCGGATAGCAAGCATTAGGGAAGAATGGCGCTAAGGCAAATTCTGTTTTGGGGGGGGGGGAATTATTTGACTGACTAAGGTCACAAGCCCGAAGACTGTCTGAGACCCAGAAGATGAATTTGTAAGAAACTGTCGTATTTCCCCTTAGTAAATACCTCACAATCTACTGGTCATGTGTAAACTCGAAATTGAGGGTTGACATTTCTTTACTTGTTCGCTTGTGGCTCGCGAAGAAGAAACCTGGCGTAATTATTCCTTAAGACAGATGATAGAACATATGAAGGTCGGAACTCTGGGAAAAGTGTCCTGAGTTCCATTTCCTTCAAGGGCGGTTCCTTTAACTACGAAACTAAACGAGATAAAACAACTGCGCCAGGATCAGAGATTTTTGCCTCGAAGAGGAGATTACGGAAACAAAGGTCTGAAATCAGGGTACGACTCCTGACAAGAAGAATGATTTCTGTTGACAAGAACGCAACCGTGATAAGAGAGCGACACCAAGGCAAAATTCTTATTTAATAGCCATTTTAACAAGTTTACGATAATATGAAAAAACGCTATAACATAGTGTTCTGCAAGTTAAAAAAGAAAACTTTGGTGCCAGTATAGGAGTTTTGTTTCCAAATCAATTGATTCTGTATGATTAAGGGTTCTCCTAGAGTGAAGCATTTAAATATTTCTAAAATGATACACATATTGAGGCAAAAATAGCTTCTGCAATATATTTAACAAACCTTTATTATGTATTTGTAGCATTTGCACTTAACGTATTTTATGTACATCAGAAGGAATTGTAAATGAGGCAACAGCTAAATTCACAATTCTTTCACTTAACAAGTTTTTAATATTTATAAGTACAATGTTTATTGTGATTAACTACACGAGAGTCAGGATAGCACGGCTAATAGACTTTTGCCTTGTAACAAGTCACTCAACAGATAACTGATATGTAATGGATGTTAGACAAGACGTATATAGAAAATAACAAAATAATTATAACATTTTGTGCATATCTTATAGATAAAATCAGTGGAAATTTCATATATAAATTATTTCTGAAACTATGATATACCAGAAACCCATTTCAAGGGTCCATATTTCTCCTTTTATATTTATGTTTTATTTGTAGTTAATATTGCCTTAATTATCCCTCATTTCATGCGTTCCTTTTAATTTGATCCTTGGTCATGGTTAATCATACACTGCGTAGAGTTTCCACGTATGACTTGCTTTGTTAGCACACTCTAGAATACTATCTGTTGTCTCCTATGTAGACTGAAAATAGGTTTTTACATATATAAGACAGCTATGAAAGCACATTGGAATAGCAGCTTATGTTCCTCTGACCGTGTGATGTGTTTCATGATGGAGAACTTGCTTCTGCGAAGATGTCTTCCGTTGTACCACTGAGCACATGAAAAACAAGCAGAAAGGCAGGAGGAAGCAGAAACTTTGATGCTCACATTTGTGGCTAGGCAAAACATGTCCTGAAGTTAAACTAAAACAAGACAAAATGAAAATGGCAATGTTTTAAACACATACGTTGTTACTATAAGTGTTATTAAAATATAAAATACCCTATCACATAATGAGCAGATTCATAAATTGTAGGTCTGCTGTTCACCACATTTTATAAGGATGAAATCAGATGAAGATGAGATGGATGGAGCACATAGCATGAATGGTAGAGATAAGGAATGTCTACAAAATGTTGACTGAAGGGCTTGAAGTCAAGAATCAATTAGAACGACCGAAACATGGATCGAAAATCATATTAAATTGGTTCTTAGGTGAGATAGCAGGCTGTGGACTGGATTAATCGTTACATCTTTACTCTTGAATTCAAGCAGGAGTCGTAATTTGGCCCAACTGCCGCCTCTCCAGACCCATTCTTTGGCTTTCCTGTCACTTCTGGTGATTGTCAGAGTAATGAATTCACATCGGCTACAAACGCCAAATTCCAAACACGGACTCACCGTTCATAACCATCGACTATATCCACATTACACAACCTTGCATTGAACGTAGTTTCATGTGTTAACCACCGTTCCAGTAGCAAACGAAGAGAAGTTCAGGAACAATTCTAAATATTTTTTCTATACAGAAAATTGTACTTACAATTGAGGACGCCCTTCGCCTTGCCGCGTACGACTGCCAATGCCTGGTCGTTGGTCTCTGCCACATTCTGCATCGTCTCCATCAGCGCTTGCCCCACCTGCTCTGTCTTTTCATCCACGAAGTTTTCCGCTTCTTTAAGCGTGTTGTCCACAGCTGCACTTGTGTTGTCGATGATATTATCCATAGTCTTCTCTACCTTGTTTAATACCACGTCCAAGACGTCGATTTCAGTGTTCTTGGCGTCCGCCCCCTCACCGACAGGCGCGGTTTCCAGCTCTGACTTGGTTGACCGAATTGCATCTGCGGTGTTCTTGACCAGTTCCTCCGGCATCTCACTCGCCAACTCATTTTTTTTATTCGATATGTTCTCGACGACATGTTTCTTCTTTTTAAACAATTTCTTGCAAGCTGAAGTGGAAGAATGATATTTATTATTCAACCCATCGTTCCAGTAGCTAACGAAGAGAAGTTCAGGAACAATTCTAAATATTTTTTCTATACAGAAAATTGTACTTACAATTGAGGACGCCCTTCGCCTTGCCGCGTACGACTGCCAATGCCTGGTCGTTGGTCTCTGCCACATTCTGCATCGTCTCCATCAGCGCTTGCCCCACCTGCTCTGTCTTTTCATCCACGAAGTTTTCCGCTTCTTTAAGCGTGTTGTCCACAGCTGCACTTGTGTTGTCGATGATATTATCCATAGTCTTCTCTACCTTGTTTAATACCACGTCCAAGACGTCGATTTCAGTGTTCTTGGCGTCCGCCCCCTCACCGACAGGCGCGGTTTCCAGCTCTGACTTGGTTGACCGAATTGCATCTGCGGTGTTCTTGACCAGTTCCTCCGGCATCTCACTCGCCAACTGCTTTTTTTGGTTCGCTATGTCCTCAACGAAATGTTTCTTCTTTTTAAACAATTTCTTGCAAGCTGAAGTGGAAGAATGATATTTATTATTCAACCCATCGTTCCAGTAGCTAACGAAGAGAAGTTCGGTAATGATTCTAAATATCTTTCCGACATAGAAAATTGTACTTACAATTGAGGACGCCCTTCGCCTTGCCGCGGACGGATGCCAACGCCTGGTCTTTGGTCTCGGCCACATTCTGTATCGTCTCAATCACCACTTGCCCCAACTGTTCTGTCTTATCATCCACAAAGTTTTCCGCTTCTCTCAGCGTTGTGTCCACAGCTGCACTTGTGTCGTCGATGATATTGTCCACAGTCTTCTCTGCCATGCTGAATACCACGTCCAAGACATCGATTTCAGTGTTCTTTGCGTCCGTCGCCCCACCGACAGGCGCGGTTTCCAGCTCTGACTTGGTCGACCGAATGGCATCTGCGGTGTTCTTGGCCTGTTCCTCCGGCATCTCACAAACAAACGGCTCTTTTTTATTCGGTATGTCCTCGACGACATGTTTCTTCTTTTCAGACATCTGTTCGGCCTTCGATCCCAAGTTCTTGCAAGCTGAAGTGGAAGAATGATATTTATTATTCAACCCATCGTTCCAGTAGCTAACGAAGAGAAGTTCAGGAATGATTCTAAATATTTTTCCTATACAGAAAGTTGTACTTACATTTGAGGACGCCCTTCGCCTTGCCGCGGACGGATGCCAACGCCTGGTCTTTGGTCTCTGCCACAGTCTGTATCGTCTCAATCACCATTTGCCCCACCTGCTCTGTCTTTTCATCCACGAAGTTTTCCGCTTCTTTAAGCTTGTTGTCCATAGCTGGACTTGTGTCGTCGATGATATTGTCCACAGTCTTCTCTACCTTGCTTAATACCTCGCCCAAGACGTGGATTTCAGTGTTCTTGGCGTCCGTCGCCCCACCGACAGGCGCAGTTTCCAGCTCTGACTTGGTCGACCGAATGGCATCTGCGGTGTTCTTGGCCTGTTCCTCCGGCATCTCACTCGCCAACTGATTTTTTTTATTCGATATGTTCTGGACGACATGTTTCCTTTTCTTAGAGAACTTCTTCGATCCCGAGTCCTTTAAAGCTGAAAAGTAAGAATTAGATTTGTTATTCAAATAGGTATGTCAGAAGGGAATGAGCCGGGATAGCTCAGTCAGTAGAGTGACTAGCTACGGGCTGGACGTCTGGGGTTCGATCCCCGACGGGGGCAGAGGATTTTTTCCTCTAGCTCTGCGTCCAGATCGGCTCTGGGGCCCACCCAGCCTCCTCTACAATGGGTACCGGGGTCCTTTCCCGGGAGTAAAGCCGGCCGGGGCGTGATGCTGACCACTCACCCCCATCTAGTGCCGAGGTCAAGGAAGAGAGGAGCTATACCTCCACTCACCCCAAACGCCTACATGGCGTATAGTGTTACAAACTTTATTTTACTTTATGTCAGAAGGGAAATAAATAACGAAGTATAGGCAATGATATGGTGTTTGCTAAAAAATCAGGAACGCTGTGAACATAGTTTATTTTCTTAACAGTGTTGATTCGCTGACCTGAAAGTTGAGCAGTGTTAGTTCTCTTTGAGATACAGAACGAATTATTAAGTATTATTTCGATGAACTTCGGCTTCAAAGGGTTTGTCGCGATTCCTATCTGACGGAGGCCGCGTCATGGGATATCGGTTTGTATGGTTTCATAGTAATGAAGTATATAGACGGTCAGAGATTTGTGTTAATGTTACTGTATGAACGTTGGCAGGATTTCAAGTGTCATCTTCATTACTCATTATCTGTGGTCCTTGGAGATGCTATGAAATGAGCGGTATGTGAGTTGACCTCTGCGTCATTTCATCGGGCCCATTTTATTACGCAGTGATTTAACATTTTTATTGCATGAGAGGATTATACTATTATTATTGATGTATCCTTATTGCTGATACATCTTTTGTACAAGTTGTTTCTGGAAGAACTTATTTGTAACTTAAATGGGAAACAGAACCATGCGTCTGAGGAAAACCACGTTAAATCATGTTAAGAGAAAACGATATCACGGCCGATTTTAAAACTTGGGTCGTACTGAATAGTAATACTAAATGAGTGTAACAGGCGATTTAGCTGTAATGATTATTTTATCGGCAATTTTGAAACAAAGTTATAATATTATTGTGACAAGGAAGAGATATGCTAATTCGTCTTGTCACAACATAATTTGATGCTACGTAACCTCAGAAGTTGACAGAACGGCATGATATAGCTTCGTTAAAATATTTGTTTCATATCTTCATATAATCAGGATATGAGGAAAGCTTTGAAGATAGTATTACTTGTCATTTCTGGGTGGTCAGCCTTTTTTTTTAAAGAAAATATGGAAGTTCGATTTGAATTTACGTGAGTTACATTTTCGACTGATATGAACCTAGGTGAAATTTTCCCGACAGGTTTTGATGTAGACCCTCAACAACTATACCACTGAAGTCCATTAAGTAATTACGAGTTTAAACATTTGAACGATCGGACATATTCGACGTCTTTGCTGTCTGCTCACAAGAAAACAAGCAAATACAACTATGACAAGAAAAAATTACATATTAAAACACTGATACTAGAATTTACACAAGTTTAAAATCTATCGGTAGAATTAAGGGCCTGGATTCCTGGCCAGCATGGGAATGGGAATTGGTTATTTTTAATACCGAACATTACACTTCTTTGCTTTCAGGAGGACGATTATCACACAAGCTAGGCATGCAGGCTGGACTGAGGAACAGCATTGTGACGCACATCGGCTATCCACTGCAGCAATCACAACTTAAAATTGTCAACGATATCCTCAAATGGTCTTTGAACATAAGGAAAAATACATAATTTATTTACTCAGCTACGTTCTGTAAACTTCTGAGGTTACGTAGCATTAAATTTTTTGATAAGATGAGATCAAATGTTCTTTCATACTTCCCTTCAGAACAACAATCCCAACTTTGTTTATTTAAAAATCGTCTGTTACGCTGTTAATCAGTATTTCTATTTCGGACGTCCCAAGTTCGAAAATAATTTTATCCTATGTTTTTGTGATTCTTCTCAGCTCACAAAATGCCGAGACTGTGTCTTAAAATACGTCAAAGCTTTCCTCAGTCAGATTTCGTATGAATCATGTAATTTCTCGTTCGACGCTGCATAATCTAGGCAGCTGTACAGCGTCGTTAATGAAACCAATGATCTATTAAAGGAATCGTAACTAATTTTGTGGAAAAAAACATCCGAAGATTCAATACGCTCAATACAGGGTCGATTCTGAAAAATCCAAATTAATTATGGTAAATGTTCATTTTGAATTTTATACCGTTGCACCAATTTTTGACTTTCATTTAATTTTGTTGATTGGATTCGTAGTTATCTTACCAACATATCTGGAATGTTTTCGTTTTCTTATCTTATTAAGTCAGGAGTGCCTCAAGATTCCACCTTAGGCCCCTTAATTTTAAGGTATTTATTAATGATATCTGCGACTCTTTTCGCCTTTTTTACCTGTTGTTTGCTGACGATTTAAAGATATGTCGTAATATTAGAAACGTTGTTGATTGTAAGCTGTCGCAGCATGGTATTCATTCTGTGCAAAACTGGTGCCTTAAAAATGGTATGGAGCTTAATTTAGGTGAAACTACGATTATATCTTTTACTCGTAAAACAAACAGTGTATATTTTAATTACACACTGTGTAACAATTTGATATCGCGTTCTCATTGTGTTAAAGATCTCGGTATATTACTGGACTGCAAGCTGTATTTTCACCAGCATATTGATTACATATGTTCACAAACCTTAAGAATGCTAGGTTTGATTCGGTATATTACGTCTTCTTTTTCTACTTTAGATAGCCTATTGGTTCTGTACAGTAGTCTTGTTCGATCTAAATTGGAGCATGGATCTGTTGCCTGGAATTTCATTACTTCCACTGATTCTACCAAACTTTAAAAAATTCAAAGGAAATTTGTAGCTTTGTGTCACATCAGAATTTTGAATGGTCTATGTCAGTGGTGTTCAACCTGGGGTACGCGAACCCTCGGGGTTACGCGAAGACATCTTAGGGGGTACGTGAAATTTAAATATATATATATTATTTTATGATAAACACTGAATAATCAGTAATGTAATTTATTTTAGATGTAGATTATATACGTTGTATTACTTGGGTTATACACCAATAACTTCGGGGCTACAAAGTTGAAGAGAAATTATATCTGGGGGTACGCGAACAAAAAAGGTTGAATGCCACTGGTCTATGTGACTATAAATATGAAGACGTATTAGTTAGATTAAATTTCCTTTTACTCCACCTGAGGAGGAGCCATCTTGATGCTCTCTTTCTCATTAAAACTTAAACTTTTCATATACGTGTCCTAGGGCCTGAAAAATTTACACCAAAATCTAGGTTGGTTGGTTTTTTTTTTGTTTATTTTGTTTTGTTTTGTTTCTTGCGATCACAAGCGTGGCTACACTCTGTATAAAGGTTTGAACATGTAATACAAGGACTTGGCATTAACAACAACAATTATAATATTGCTCTTGGTAGGAATGAACTTATTGCGACCACAGTCTGTCTACTCAAATAAAAGGAAGGATTTTATAACTTTGATGAATAAAATAAAAATTTCTAGAGAACACTGTGTGTTTAGAAGTGGATGGAGTGACGTGTTATGGTTGATAAACAGTTGTGGCGCTTAAAATAATCAGGTCACACAAGGTAAAAGACAACTGTGTAATATTTACAAAACAAAATTTGATATTGATGTAATAATACTGAGTTTAAACGTAAATTTAAAATTTGGGCGTGGGAAAACTACTGTAGTCGTCATCGCTTTGATTAAAATAAAAACCATTATTGTTGTCGCTTGAAATATTAATAAAACGAAATACTCGTACATACCTTCGCCGAAACCTCCAGACATGGTACTTGGTGTCTGAAGTGAATTTAAACTCCGATTAAAGGAGCGTTTGTTCCTGTTGGCACCAATCGGTCTTATATGTTCCTGCGGTCACCAATGTTCGCGACTTTAATATTTTTTGACTTGTTGGGTGAGGAAGTGGGGCGTGGAGTGAAGGAGGAAAGATAGCGTCTGTTATTCAGTAGAGTAGTATAGCATCGGTTCAGAACATATTGGCCACGAGTATGCTTATGTAGTGCTCAAGTCAACTGAAATAAAGTATAATTGTGTTTGTATCTGAAGGTTTCATTGTAGTGTACAGCGTCATTTCAGATCACAGTGACCACTGACAGATTTCTTTATTTAGTGCGTGTGAATTCGAGAGTCTATTGTGATAACTGTGTTCAGGCAGAGTACCGAAATAATGTCGCCTCCACGGAATGTTATCATTCACCGGGAGGTTATGGAAATAATGGCAAGCGTAATTGAGAAATGTGATGAGGAATCACGTCGAAAACGTTTGTTGTTACCAATTAACAACGCAACAGAGGGCAGCACTGTACACGGGGAAATCTCGGTCATCTTGTATATTAAGAATCAGGAGGAAACACAGAGAAATGACCCAGCTTCTCAAATCACCAGGAAAGAAGAGATAAGTGTTTTATCAGAAATACAATTCAGGACTTCTATATTCAGGAAGAAAGTGGCAACGGTACCAAACTGCTACTCATTATAAAAAAGAAAATGCATTTTAATTGGGGACGTAAGTCGTTGGAGAGGATTGTAAAGAGCCTGGGATTTAAATGGAGGAAATCACAGTCAAAACTCAAAATTCTGATAGAGAGAGGAGAAATTGTTGACTGGAGATAAAGATATCTTATGAAAATAAAGGAGTATCGGTGTAAGGGACGCCCAATATTTTATATTGATGAATCATGGGTTGACAGAAACCTAACCTTTCGTAAATGCTGGCAAAGCGAAGAAGTCATAGGCGTCCAGGCCAATGTGAACTCTTATCATGCTGCATGTAGGAGGAATTAATGCTGATCCCCAATCTCCCCGCTCAGTCAGTAATTGTCCTTCAGACTGACAAACCGCCATCAGCCTACGCTATAAAGACAGACGTGATTTCGTGGCTCCGCAAGAAAGGTGGAACTGTAACACGACCATGCGAAAAAATGAGCTGTATAACCTAATTCTGCCACTGAAACCCAAAGAGAAGATCTACAAAATTGATCACGTCTTGGAAGATTACGACCATTCAGTTGTTAGACAACCTCCATATGTGTGCGATTAAATCCCATAGAACTTGCATGGGCGAAAATAAAGAGAATCTTGCGTGAAAACGACGTCACAGGAGAACTGAGGAGAGAGGTGGTTCTCGAAACGTTGGTTTTTTCGCCTTTTAATCACCTGACATGGCTGGTAACTTGACAGAACTTTATTAAATGAAGTCGCCGTGGAAGCTCCGGTTTCGGCCCAAAAAATGTTAACAAAAGCTCGAATGAAAATAAAACTCTGGAGACAAATGAAAGGAATTCGACGGAATATTTTTGTTCAATAGAAGAACACACAAGCACAGTTAAAATATGAGCCATTACTTGCATAACACTTTGTCAATTTAGAGAACTACTTTGCCTTTCATTATAAAGAAATTCATCAAGTATCGCGGATGAAATATGCTTGGAATTTGATAGTTCAGGGATTGTAATCGCATGCCTAAGATTACCGAAATTTTACGCAGTGCCTCCAAGCAAACATTGAGATAGAACGTAGTAAAGAATCATTCTATTATTAGACGCTATTTAACGTATTAGACTTTTAGCAAATTCGCCAATATTCAAATGTATGTGCCACATAAATAGACTTTCACGGTGGACCAGTACTATAATATTAATACTGCGTTTCTGTGTCCACTCATGGTTGTAATCCAGGTTTACAAAACTGTATTGTGACAAACATAAGCCTGTTCATGGCGCTTTTTGTTCCTTCAGTACTATTAGGTATTTCAATATGAAATGCCAGATTTCTATTATGTTGTCCAGTTACGCAAATGGGGGTCCGCAGTGGCCGCGCTGTCTGAGGCGTGGGCCTTGTGCCGCTTGGTCGCTGGGACCGTGGGTTCTAATCCCACTCAAGCCATGGATGTTTGCCTGCGTTTTTCTGTTTTGTGGTCCCGTGTACAGGTAGAGGTCTCGCGACGGGCCGACCCTTCGTCCAAGGAGTCCTACCGAATGTCTATAGATCAAGCCAACGAAAAGTTGGGACCCGCTCAGGCACTCGAAGAACGGGTCGATCCCAGTATCCCAGTTACGCAGATTAGATTAGTCACCACACTAATTTTCCGTCCTGTGAGTATTGTTACAATAAATTACAACGCTGTTTCATGACCGCCACATTGGTACAGCGGATCACAGAATTAATTATACAAAAATGGAATGGCGTCCAACAATTTCTTGCCGGAGACTTACAGACAGGATGACAAAAACGGAGATCGCTGAACGAAACATTTTACGTACCGTATAAGAATAATTCTTCTAAAAAAATTTATAAGCTATCACACTTTTTCCCTTGAATCTTTAAGTCCTACAGAAAATATGTGTTAAATAATTTTGGAAACACTTTCATCTGTTCACTGCGTACACTGAAGACATATTACAAGACAGACATTAAGTTTGAAATGCGTTAATTAAGTACAGAAGTTAGGTTATTTCTGTAGCATAGTTATCAAAGGCAACCTTAAATTGTTCTCGAATGCGTCGATGAGCGTACTTATTTTAAAGTCCCTGCACTTAGATGTGATGTGGTGCCCTACAGCCAATCAGAGCCTGACTGCATCTTCTGTAGTGACAGCTGTCTTGCATTTTGATCGAGATTCTTCTCCAAGGTTCTCGTCTTTGACAGTTAAAACTACATCACATACAACTCTTCTTATATTAACGTACCATTTTATGCAGAGTGTTGAGGTTAAATTTTTATTTTTAAAATGATTCCTGATTCCCTTCATGTCACAATCATCATTGTATTTTTAAGGCAGTACACACAGAACGTTCCATTGGTTGATTCAAAACACGAAATTCAAGGACCATTTCTTCTAAGGACTAGGCCCCTGACCTGTTACAGTTCAGAGTAAATTCTAATCCTTTTCGACTTTTGGTAGAGCTCTTTGTAAAGGGAAGTAGCCCATTTAGATTGTAGACTGTAAGAGAGATTTATACTTCATCGCATTCGTTATTCAGTACATTTTGTGGCAGTTCAGTTTAAACAAATAAACAAGGGTGTGAGTGTGTCGATTGGTTTAAACCGGCTCAGTATTGTAAAAACTGACAGTTAAAATGATGCGCTTTCTGACATTTGTGCTGAACTTTTATAAACTGCTCACAGTGAATACACGATTTATTGGTGGAGGTGATACGTGGTGCGGTTCTCAAACATATCAACAAAGTGCAAAATCGAGAAACACGGACTTGAAGAAGGTTGATGCCCAGCCTTCAAAAATAAAACAAGTGTTGACCGTTTGTTTCAGTTGTAAATATGGAGTACGCAAAAAACTGTTAACTCAGTTTCACAAAAATATTTTGAGAAATTTGTGATCTTACTGAATTGTGGGTACTGAGGAAAATTGTGTATCCTGCATAGCAGTAAATGCCAAATATTGCACTTTCTGTCTAAAGCACTCTAGAAAAAATATCAAGCCATTATTTTATCTCCATACGTCATCAGTTATTCCCACAACTTAAACAGGTACGTAAAGACATTCCTGCGGTGTGGAAAGGGGATGGAATGGTAGTTAACGTTGTTACCGACCGGCTGCAAATCGTTTTTGAACTAGTTTACTGAACGTTGCGAATAGATGGCACAAAGTAAGTGGCGTCATGGCCTCCACTCGTTGCCAACTTTTGACATTGAATTACCGATTTGTTTATTATTGTGTAAGCGAGGTGATTAATGCTTGGTAATACGGTATCTTAATTAGCCCGACCTTTATCAGATTGAATTAAATGTATGAAATTTAAACTCTGAATTACTTTGTCCCAAACGTAATGTGCTGATGGTTGTAAATTACAAATGCTGGAAATGCAGTAGGACACTCATCTTTAGCCTTTCATAGATATCAAGAACTTTTCGTGAAGAATTAATCCTCTCATATAAATTAATCGTTATATATAATGATTTCAAGAGTGGAACACAGCTTCTTAAACTTCTGAGCGAAGAGTATGCTTTGGATACAGCATGTTGCTAGAAGCAGTGTGGCAAACAGCGAAATATATCAACAGTGGCAATGTGTGGGTTGGTTTGATATTGAGTGTGATATAAAGTTGTGAAGCTAAAGTGGAGACAGGTTAAGAGCCAATATAATAACTATAGGTTGATTTATCAGTAAATATGCACCATCTGCAACAATACGTTAGTAGTGATGATGACGACAGTTTGACTAGTGGTGGTAATAATTTGGAGGACATAACCTCACATTTGAAACCATTGGATCATGTTAAATCAATTATCGTATTACAAAATAAAATGCAAGTATGTGCTGCCCCAGATGTTGATCCTACGGTAAGTATGAAGTGTAATTGCTTTAATTAATGCAATGGTGCGAAATAATTAAATTCTATGGCAGGCCCATGTGTACTATACAGAGTTTGAGAAATGTATGTAAGATTAATTTTCCCATAATACAAGTACAGAACTTATTTCACAAATAGATATACAAAAATTTAAGAATGTTCAACACAAGGAGAAAACATTATTTCACTTATAGATATACATAAAGCTTTGGAATTGTCAACAGAGGTGAAGTGAGTTAGGAGATAATCTTTTAATGGAAGCTTGATTACTTTTGTATCATGATCTAAACTTTTAACTGTAGGTGGAAGATTACTGAATAGCTTGATACATATATAGTATACTTCTTTTTGATGTTTAGTGAGGTTAGTATTTGGCATATGAAGATCATATTTATGTATTGTGTTTAAATTATGTACATCTGTATTTCTTTTAAATCTGTCCAAGTTTTCCACGACAGAGAATCTTTAAGAGAGTATATATTTACATGCAAGTGGAAGTATAGTAAATTTTCAAATTAATTTTCTACAAGAGACTGCTTTTAACACCTGCATTTTTTATGTAAAACACTTTATTACTGTCTGTTGAATTTCCCCAGAAGATTAATCTACAAGACAGTACAGTATGGAATAAGTAAAATGAACTAATTTTAAAATATTTGTCATGAATGGTACAACTGTTCTTATGGCAAAGCATGCAGAGTTTAGTTTGGGAATAATATATTCAATGTATTTCTTCCAGTTTAAGTCAATTTGTAAGCCAAGGAATTTGCTTCTACTAACTCAATTAATTATTGTCAAAACCTAGATTTAAACTGGGACATGTCTTGTTCTTATTAGCAAATTTTATATATATTTGTTTGATCAAAATTTAGTAGCAGTTTGTTAGCTTTAAACCATTTGTTTTGGTTGACGAAGATATCATTTTGAAGATAGTCCAATTTTAAATTTGGATGATACTTGTATCAACAAAGATAATAGGTTTAGATTAAGAGTTTATAGTTGTAGGAAGATCATTCATATATATGGGGAAAAGTAAGGGTTCAAGTATTGAAACTTGCAGCACTCCATGATTTAGAATGCCCCATTCTGAAGAGGTATTATGATTGGTATGGGGAAATTTAATATCTACTGCGTGCCTTCTGTTATTTAGGTAAGATATAAAACCACTGTCTTGCTATACATTGAATTCCATAACATTTCAGTTTCATCAGTAATAATTCATGGTTTACACAATCAGATGCTTTGGCAAGACCACAAGATACTCCACCCATATGCATCCTATTATTGAGGGAACAAAAAATTTCATTACTTAAACTAATTAGAGCTTTTTGTGTTGAGAATTTTTTTCTAAATCCAAATTGTTTCTCTGCATGGATATTGTTTCAGTGTAAGAAATCATTTGCTCTCTTTCTCAAAAAATGGCCTCTAGTTAGAGATGCAGCACTTTTCACCATTTTCATATGGTGATTTTACTTTTGAATATTTAAGTCTTTTAGGAAAAGTTCCTTTGGCCATAGAACGATTACAAAGATAAAGTAATTAAATACTTATGTAATTGGATTCTGTAGGGTTCTGACAGTGGTGGGATAGAGTCAGGTTTATTAGACTGTACCAGTGATTTCTATCAGACCCAACAGAGTAGGTGCCTGTACCCCATACACCTGAAGATGAAACTGGATCCGGTTTTCAAAATGTCATATACATTTTAACCTTGGGCGATGGACAAAGTCCAAAAACTCAATAAATCTGACTACTTATGTCATCTATGCTAGATTTAAGCAGTTCAGATGAAATTTGATCATAAAATGTTTTAACCTGAGAGAATTTATTATATTTTTTTATTTTCATATGGTGTAATATGCATAAGATGGAAATGAGTTCAGAATTGCTTTAGTCAAGAACTTTGCATCTCTGGTTACTGGGGTTACAGTACTGTTATTATTTTTACTATCATTAAAAAGTAGGTATTAAAAGAGTTAGCTTTTTCTTTATTTGTGAACTTTCACTGTCTGTAGATTCCTTACCAGTTTCCTTTTTTACAATTTTACAAACAGTCTTTACTTTATTATGAGACTTGGTGTAATAGATGCACTGAAACAGTATTCTATGACTTATTTGAGTTTTTTGGTTGAGTCTGCACATGAATTTATTTTCTGTTACAGGGCGCCGTAGAACATCTGCACCACATTGATTCTACAACAAAAGAGGTGATGCATAATCTGAAATATGAAGAGCTATTTGCTCCTGAGGTGGGACCAGAAAATCCCTTTCAGACAAGACATCAGCGAGCCCACAAAAACATGCTCTCTGGTTTTGTGGAGCAAACACACATAAATGACTTTCAATTTGAAAATCAGCGCAGGACTTTCAATAGTTATGGTATGAAGAGTGTTTGTTGTTCAATAAGTTATTAAATATAAAAGTGCTGACTGTGGTAAATTAATGTTCATTCTTGGATCATTAAGAATTTAATTCCTACATTTATTTTTGCATGTTTTATGATGCTTTATATATAATGCCTCCTTGGGAATGGCAGTAACAAATAGAAATTAAATTCTTGAAGATATTAAGAGATTTTGACTTGGGCAGTGCTTGTGTGTCTGTAGGTACTTATTCAGCATATTGAAATCTATCCTTCATAAATGGAGGCATTCTCCGTTGTATAGAAGTACCAGCAATAAGTTTAAAAATAATCCACTGTTCTTTGTTATAGGATATGCTCTGGATCCCACAGTTGGATGTTCTCCTGAAGAAGCAACGAATTTTATAGGTGCCACAGAAGCAGCAAAGGAAGCCGAAGGGAAAACAGTTTTTGAATCAACCAAGGAACGACCATCAGACAGGAGGAAGCGTAGTAAAAATGACAACCCATCAGATATTGAAGGATTTCTAGGACCATGGGGGGGTTATGTTGATGAGAAGAGGGTGATGAAACCAAGTGAAGTAAGTTGATGGTTTGGATATAGTAGAAAATAAAAAAGTCAGGTCCTTAATTTTCCTGAATTATCTTTTTGACACATTTTGAAACAAAAGTGATGTGATGCATTTTAGGTTTCTGGTGTATGAGAGATATTTGTACTACTTCCTCATGATATATGTGTTTATAACATGTGAACATATTTTGCATGTCAGGTTGTGATGAATCATTAGTTATCATCAAACCAACATTTTTGCGTGGTTGCCAAGATGGTATTTTCATTTTACTAAATAATTACCTAAACAGACGTTGCGTAATAAGAAAATAAGTACACAAACAAGCTCATTTTGTGTTCACACAGTCAACATTTACTGTGTTTGGAATTATGTCCAGTATATATATAATGCAGTGTCGTGATTTAATGATCCTTGGCACTCCTGACAGTATTAATACAAGTATGTAGGTCTAGGCATTGATACACAGTTGGAATAAAAATATGTGTTGTTGTTAAATGCACCTGCAAGTGCACATTTACTTAGCAAACACCCTTGTGTCATGTTAGGAAATCGTGTTCTGAAGTTGGTATCTTATACATTATAGGAGGAAGCTGTTGAATTGGAAGAAATTCTTGCAAAACGACAAAAGAGAGGAAAGCAGGTGGATGATAAACCTCTCGAGGAGAAGACAGTATTGCACAGTAAGAATAATATAATTGTTACATACGTAAATTTATGAGGTCTTGAGTGAAGCAGAGCAGACCTATAACTCACATGTTCTTATCCTTAGACTAGGTGGATGTCGGTGGATAACGGTCACTACAGTTATTCAGCATACATTTTAGATGCTTGGAAATGGAATAAATACTTTTCTAAACTTAATATATTATCTGTAATTGCTTTAGCCATAGTGTGTGTTATATTCATATGTATTGTTTGCTAGCTGTCACATTGTTGTTACTTTCTTTTTCAGTCAAAGATACAGTGGATTACCAGGGTCGTTCGTTCCTCCACGCTCCGCAAGATGTGGGCGTAAATCTGCGATCTGATTCACCTCCAGAGCGGTGCTTCCTTCCAAAAACACAAATTCATACTTGGCAAGGTCATACCAAGGGCATCTCCAATGTCCGTTGGTTTCCGAAGACAGCGCATCTGTTGTTGTCCTGCAGCATGGACTGCAGAGTTAAGGTACCATGGCAATAGCGATAATACCTTGATTTTGTTACACATAACCATGTCTACTATTTTGGGATTTTAGTCTTGTGTAGCCTTGTGGATGGCACCGCTTAGAAGGCCACATTCATGAAATCAGCAAATGTCATGTGTCTCATATCTCCCGTTTCTGTTCCCTGTCACATATTATTTTATGATTCGGCCTGTTCATTGTGAGCAGACTGATGAGGAAGGCTCTGCTGGGTGTGCCGTGAGTTGATGTGCTCAATCCTTGTAAGTTTCTTCTCATTTCCCTGTTTAATGTGGTTTGGAAGGGAAGAAAATGCTATGCAGTGTTTGTGTATTGTTTCAGTTATGGGAAGTGTATAATGAGCGTCGTTGCATCAGAACGTATTATGGCCATCGGCAGGCAGTGAGAGATGTTTGTTTTAATAATGCTGGCACACAGTTCCTGTCAGCAGGTGAGTAATACTGGCAAACATATATTATATATTATAGGAGTCATAAATAAGTTTCACAAAAGTATGCACTTTTACAACATTGGAGTGTAAGTAGTAACTTTGAGTAAGTTTGACTTTCTTTGCTTTGAAACTTTGGTTAAAAATGTTTCAAAGCAAAGAAAGTCAAAGAATGCATGTGGAAACTGTGTACTTGGTGATGTTTGCATCTTCTTTAGTCTTATTTATTTGTGGTGAGACAGGGAACAACATGCTGTCTGTCTTATGAAACGCACATTGGCTAGTCTCTTCCAAGTGTTTTATGATCCTGTGTGTCTCAAGACTATGATTGAAAATTATGTTTATGATTCTTAGGTTTTTAGTATAACTGATCATCTGGAAAAATCCATTGGGTCAGTGTCAGAATGATTGCCGGTTAATATGATTCCAAGACCCATGTAAAATACATTACAAAAAATCACTTTGTACATATAATAGTAATCATTTTGTATGTTTAGCATATGACCGATACATCAAGCTGTGGGATACAGAAACTGGTGAGTGTATATCTCGCTTCACAAGCCGCAAAATTCCGTACTGCACGAAATTCCATCCAGATGAGGACAAACAACATCTGTTTGTTGCTGGAACATCAGACAAGAAAATCATCTGCGTAAGTCACTGAAATATTTATATCATTACAAGATCCGTAAATTTATTTGTCTGTAAAGTGTAATTTTTTCTTAAAACTGTTCCATTCCTTTGTAGTGGGACGTGCGGTCAGGAGAAATTGTTCAGGAATATGACCGGCATCTTGGTGCAGTTAATACGATCACATTTGTTGATGAGAATCGGAGATTTGTTACAACTTCTGACGATAAAAGTCTTCGTGTGTGGGAGTGGTAAGTTCTTGTGTACAATGACTGTCTAACAGATCCTAAGGTTTCTTACTGTCGGCCAGACCCTAGGCATTGAGGTATTCATATTTCTCAGACATTTTAAGCAATAACATTCTTGCATTTCCTTGTATCTTATACATAACTGACATAGCCTCCTTTGCCCCCTTCATGGTAGGGATAATAAACACATTCAGAGTCTTAATTCTAAAATATAAACAGAAGAGACCCACATGGAAATATAGATGTAGATGGGAGGATAATATTAAAATGGTTAATTCATGAGGAAAGATGGTGAGACAGGATTATATGACTGATTTTACAGAGAGAGTGTTGCTATTGAATTAACAACAGTAGTACGTCAATATTTGGCAAGTTCATTTTGACATTTTCTGTGTCTCTCAAACACTAACAGTCTCTACTGTGGGTTTCACAGCATGCAACTTCAACATTGTAGGGTTAGTCAGCAATAGGATCACAGCTTCTCTTCTTCTGAGAATCAAGTTTTTCTAAAAGAAATACACAATATTCCATGTGTAAAAAACACCCCAACTTTGGATGGTAAATTTTTATCGCAAATGCGGTATTTACTTGTTCTTATTTATTGTGAAATGTCTGTTCCAGGGACATTCCAGTGGATATGAAGTATATAGCCGACCCCACAATGCACTCGATGCCTGCAGTGACACCGTCACCAAACCAGAAGTGGCTGGCTTGTCAGAGTATGGACAACAAGATTGTAATATTTTCAGCTCTAAATCGCTTTAAGATGAATCGCAAGAAAACCTTCAGTGGACATATGGTAGCTGGTTACGCATGCACTGTTGACTTCTCACCTGATATGAGGTTTGTCTCATTGACTATATATGAGAACTGTATCTGATGGTACAGTGTCATGGGCTCCTGACTAAAAAGTATTGCCATGAAAGTGGCATGAGAAGAAATACATAACAATAACAAGGATAAAAGCACAAAGGACTAATATTTGGGAGCTGACTATATTGAAATTCTCATTTTGTGTCTCTCTAGGAGTGGGGCAGAAAATTTAAACTTTAAATATCAATAATTGAACACCGGTATAATAGGAGTGGATGTCCAGAAATTAAACTGAAAATTATGGAAAATATGAAGAAGAGGAATGTTATATAGGCACACTACTGTTTTTGAAGCTTGTTTAAAATATGTTACTAGTTTATCCATATTAGAGTTTGGTTCTTCTAAATCTGCTAAATTTGATTTAACTGAGGAACCAACTTTAACTCCCCTCATATTTAAATGATTATTTTATATTTATAGTTATTTGCTTAATCATTTATAGTTATTATAAAAATTTATGGACTGGATCTATAAAATAGAATTGAAACAAAATTTCAAGTTATTTATGTGATCATAAAACTTAATTTCAATCATGAATTTAGTCACACAATGTGAATACATTTCAGTGCTTGTTGAAATTAAATTATCTTTTAATCTTTATCATATCACCATTAACCTGTCTGTTTCATTGCAGCTACTTGGTGTCAGGAGACGCTGACGGAAAGTGCTACGTGTGGGATTGGAAGACAACAAAATTATACAAGAAGTGGAAGGCTCATGACAGTGTGTGTATTGGTGTGCTGTGGCATCCACATGAACCCAGTAAGCTTGTTACTGCTGGATGGGATGGTCTTATCAAGTACTGGGATTAAATTTTGATAGTGTATATTCCTGATCATTTGACAAAGGAAGATCATCATTCATTTGTAAATATATGCCAAGTGCCATGAATGATTAGGTTGACAGAAAATTCACGTAAAGTGCTTGTGTTAGTTACTGTCAATCCTTTATAACTGAAATATCTAACATTTTGGATTGCTACATATTTATGTGTTCACTAGTGAGAGAAGTAATAAATCATATTAGTGGTAACAGCAAAATTTAAGTGTTCCATATCCAAAGACTACCAGTTGCTGCTGCTAATGCTTATGTTATGAGGTCTGATATGACAGATAACAAGACTAATGCTGTGACGAGACTACTAGTAATAGAAAGGGAGAAATAGACGTAACATAGTTGACCTTGATCTATCCTCTACCGGTGATGTAAGTTTCAACTTGATTGCTTCGTTCAGTAGCAGTGAACAAGAGTTTCTGTACAGACGTGTTGTTATGCTCATTTGAAAAATGTCAGATTGTAAATTGGAACAGCGCGTTAACATTACGCTTCTCATGAAACTTAAGAAATCTGTGATGGAAACTATTCAGTTATTGACTGAAGCTTACAGTGAAGATCATGTGTCTTGTGTTCAAATGGCACAAATGATTTTAGAAAGGCAGGGAAAGTATGGAAGGTGATGAGTGTCCAGGTTGTCCACGCACATCAGTTACTGATAACAACATTGAAAAAGATTTCAGTCTTCTGGGTTGTAGTATCCCAGGTCCCCCAGAGTCGTCAGACTCTTGACTCTTGGACTAAGGATTAACTACTGCAGATGAACCGAGCGGATGCTTCTGTGTTCAGGTGGCTATGGAGCTGCTGGATAAGGCGTCACTTAAGAGTGATAATGCTCAAAGTACAATCTTTGGATGTGCTTTAATGACAGAGCTGCTGATACAATCAGTGAGGTTGCTGAGACTTCGGAGACCCAAGAGCAGAGATTCGAATTCAATGGCAGCGTGACTGCCTGAGCTGAATGGTTGTAGTTACTCCCCCTTGTCTTAAATTTTCGAGAGGTATATATATATGCTTCAATAAATGAATTCCCTTGACGTAGGGTACCAAAATACTCTCTATTTCTCTGCCTGGTCTCAACATCACATGTTTTTCCATACATGGTTCCGTGCCCTCTGACCTTTTAAACCTGTGTACTTTAAATTCAGGGTGTTTAGGTCCTTCGATCGCAGTTTCTGTTTCTTTGGATTTCGTAACACAATTTCCTAACATTTCTCAAATAACAAGGTTATACTAGCTTAATAATTGACTGCATACCTCAATACGTGGTTCGTGACCCACAGATACGACAGGGTTGTTGCGCTGTGTAGTCTGGTAGATGTTTACCAACGTTTCAGATGACGGAGGCAGTATGGCCTCTGAAACGTTGGTTAACATCGACCAGACTACACAGCGCAACAACCCAGAAGACAGAAATCTTCATACCCATATCACAATCTTGCAGTCATCCCTTGACTCGGCCTTCCTTCGCCATCTTCTTACTCCAGTGGTTCTCAGATCTGCCTCCACATCATCTAGCCATCTCATACGTGGTCGCCCCCTCATCCTCCTTCCACGTGGTTGACCATTTAGCGCCTTTTTTGGGTACCTTCCACCAGTCATCCGTTGATCATGTCCCAGCCATCTCAGTCTGCCTGTCTTAATAGTAGCAACCAGATCTGGTTCTTTGTACAGGCTCTGATTTCTTCATTCGTCTCCTTCTTTCACTGGCCCAAACATCTTTCACAATACTTTTCTCTCCTATACATTAATCCTCCTTTCTGTTGTTTTCGTTAGGACCCATGCTTCACTTCCATACATTATTACAGGTCTCATAATAGTTTTGTACATTTGTACATTCTCAGTTTGACCCTTCTAGTTGTATTTTTGCTTTTAAGGAGTATAAATAGAGCTGCATAACATTTATTGGCTGACTTAATTCTATTAGTTATGTCTGTTTCAACATTATTATTATCTGTCATTACTGAGCCTTAAAACTCTCAACTGTTTCAAAAAGGTTATCTTCAATATGGAGATGTTCCTTCTCCCTTGAATGGGACACATCAGCTATTGGCATATGCTGATGATGTTAATTTATTGGGGGACGATATGAATACAATAAAGAGGAACGCAGAAGTTTTACTAGAGGCTAGTAGACAG